TATCAAGTTTACAGTAGGGGGTGATCAGGTTTTGATGTGTGAACAAGGGCCACTCACGATTACTCATTCCTTCATTCATGTATTCAACAAATCTTTATTGAGTACCTGCATAGTGCCAGGCATTAGACGTTACAGTTACAATAGAAAATGTGAAATTGCTATGGTGGGGATTGATTATCTAGTGAAAGAGACAGACAGAAGACAAGCAAACAGACACATTCTATGAAACGGCCAATTATGAAAAGTGCTGTGATGGAAAAAAAAAAAACAGTACGGACAAGGTGCTGAAATAGAGAACGATAGGCTAGCCCTACCTTCTCTAGGGTGGTCAGGGGTAAAGTGCCAAGAGGAAATGATTCTAGTAGAAGAGAGAGGGAGGACAGAGCCCAGCGTGTTTGTGGACCTGTGATCAGTGACTTTTGATGTTCCTCTTGGGACCCACTGAAGGCTGAGGTGATGGGCAGCTGTGTTTGTTTGTTTGTTTTTAATCAATAGAGAGTTTTAAAATTATGTACATTTTTAGACATAGTGCTATGACATAGTAGATTATAGTGCAAATATAATTTTTTATGTGTGCCTTGGAAAACTAGGAAACCCTTGTGACTCACTTTATTGTGATATTCCCTTTATTGTGATGATCTGGAACCAAACCCACTATGTCTCTGAGGTGTGTTTGTATTGGTTGAATGAGTGAATGACTTTAAAGTTACAAAATGTATCCACACAGTTATTTCTGCCTTTTACCCTGGCACATGGAATATTTTAGGACAAAGATACCCAAACTCCACTTTTAAAATGAACCTGTTGTAATTTGAAGGTTGCTTTTTCTTTTTTCTTTTTTGTATGTAAAGCAGTGTTTGGATAAATTGATTTTTACTTTATGTTTGTTTTAGCCAAAGTCTCTGTTTAGCACAACCAGAACACTATACTGTCAAGTTCTTCATTTGTTCTTTTGCTTGCTTTCCCACACACTATTCAACAGTGATAACCTGACCCTAGTAAGAACACAACACATTCTTTCATCCATGGAGAAAATCAGCAACCATACAGGTTGAGCAGGTGAATATGAAGAATGATTTTCTTTCCTCTGTGGTTAGAGCACCTAAGCAAAAAAAAAGTAAAGCAACTCGATTCCAATCTTTTAGGAAAGACAATTTCTACTCATTGCATTAAATGATCCTTTGTAGACATCACCTTATGGTCAGCCAAACTAGCTAAATAAAATAGTGCCGTAAAAGTTTATTTTAGATCTTCCTCACCCTCAAATTTAAAATGTTATTTCCCCTCTGTGAGTTTGAACACATTTATAGGCACATGTAGACCATGGGACAAGGGGCAAACTACCTAAGTTAACCTAGGGCTGTGGTAGTTGCTTTCTGAATCACAGGTATGCTGAATTTCAGAGAGGCTGGTAGTGTGTCTTATACACTTTGTATAGATTTTCCTAAAAGCTATAAAGAAATTGGAGAAAAATCTTCTGAAAGTTAAAATAAGCTTAGTTGAGCTTTTCCATCTGTTTTCCAGAACATTCTAGGTCATATTCCAGGACAGAGGAAAGAATCATAAATCTTACATGGGTAGAATGGGTGATGTTGCCTAAAGCTAATAAAACCCTATAGTATGGGCTGGATTGCTTTCTGATTACCCAGCCCCTATGCTCTGGTTAGGATTTAAAACCCCAGGAGAATGGCCATGCTAAGTGATTTGCAGAACCACTGTTGACTCATTCCAAACCACTGGGCAAGTAACTTATTTACTTACTTTAGTTGTTCTTAAAGTTATATTCAAAATAAGGTTTCCCAATGCCCTTTGCCACCATTGGTGAAGTAGTTTTTATGGTAGTTAAGCATTACTTAAGACCAAGGGAGAAATATCTAACAAGCAGAAAAGTAATCCTTGCTTTTCTGCCCTAAACTGTTACTTATTGATACAGCTTAAAGTCCTATGGATTAGTGAAAATAAAAGAGGACAGTGGAAGGTTTAGTCCAGGTTGACTGCTCAGTAATATGTTCTCTGCACTACCTAAGTCCTGATTTCTCAGGAATTACCTTTTCTGGGGAGTTAAGTATGTCTTCTGCACAGATCTACACATCACAGATTAGCCACTTTTGTTTTGTGACATTCAGTGGCTTATTTAGCTTTTTTTAATGAAGCAACTGAAACGTTTTTACTTCACAATGGTTCTCAGTATCCTTCAGGAGAAGAGAAATCCCAAGAACTGCTGAGTCAGAGCCAGGCTAGGCATCAGGCACAGCAAGTCTCCTGCACTGGTAGGAAAGGATGCTCCTCTGTGCTCATCTCACACTGTTTTCTATTCAGATTTGTGCCCCAGAAAAATTACGAATGATTCCATGCTCTAGATGTTGAATTCGAAGCAACAGAAATTTTGAATTAAATTTGCAAATATTTGATAAGGAGCTATCAAGACACAGCCACATACATACCGCCTCTTTTTGAAAGAACAAAGCAGCTCCCAAAAGACATGGATATACCAGATGACCCCGCATTTCTAACTCCTAAGGATACACCCAAAGGAATTGAAGTCAGGTGTTCAAATTTGCATACAAATGTTAATAGCAGCACTCTTCATAATAGCCAAAAGACAAGACAACCCAAATGTCCATTAACATTTGAATAAATAAAAATGTGGTATATCCATACAATGGACTATTCAGCCATAAAAAGGAATGAAATACTGATCCGTGCTTAACATGGCAAGACCTTGAAAGCATTCTATTAAATGAAAGAAGCCAGACACAACAGGCCACGTATTGGATGATTCCCCTTCTATGAAATACCCAGAACAGGCAAATCCATGAAGACAAAAAGTAGATTGGTAGTTGCCACAGTCTGAGAGAAAGAGGGAAGGAGGAGTGATTGCTTAAAGGGTGTAGGGTTCCCTTTTGGGGTGATGTGATTTCACAGCATGGCTAGTGATTATATGCCACTGAATTGTACACTTTCAAATGGTTAAAATGGTGAATGGATTATGTCTATTTTCCTAACCAAAAAAAAAAAAAAAGAAAGAAAGAAGGGAGAAAAGAAGGAAGAAATGAGGAAAGAAAGAAAAAGAAAAGAAAGGCAAGAGGTATATGAGGTAAGACATCTCTGGGTCAAGCTGAATTCCACACTCAGATGCCTTTGGAGGCTAAGTACTTTACAATATTGTAGTGGGTTTTGCCATACATTGACATGAATCAGTCCAACTAATAAAAATAAATGAAAAAAAAAAAAAGAATGCAAACTCAAATGCCTTTGGGGTAAGGCAGGTCATAAAAGCAAAGGAGACTTGTTAGAGACAAAAGAGAAATGGGATCTGTGACACTCTCTAGACTAACAGGAGAAAGTTTAAAATATATTATATGAGCAACAATGACAGTTCAAAGTAGTCAGATAAGGCCCCAAGACAACAGAGTTTATAATCCCTGGTTAAAGGAAACCTAAGCTGTCCTTGACACAGGTTGGTTACAGTGCCTTTCCTGTGTAATCTAGAGTTTTGAAATGTTGAGTGACACCGATGCTTTAGATAGGACAGGCTTTGGAAGACCTTTAACAGCACAGATAACTAAGGTAAAACTTTTACAGTGGGGTTTGCTCTTGGTCAAAGTAAAATGAGATAAGTAATTTGTGGTCAGCACAAAGATCATTCTAGGTTGAAACATACCACTTTCTCTGTGTTCTCCACATGGTTTATGGGAATAAAAACCATCTATCCTGTTTACCTCACAAAGAGATGGATAGCCTGGGATCTTTAGGTGGCTAAATCCTAGCTTACTCATCTGAAAAATGGAAATTATGGTAGTGGCTCAATCTTGATCCCTAGCTGTCTACCTCTTTAATGTCTGTCTTTGCTACTAAAATACAGCTCATCTCTGTGCTCTTTGTGTCCATTACCATTCATCCAGACCCATCACAGGGCCAGACACTTCTTAGGAACTTGGTGGATACTGGCCAAATGATCCAGGGATGACACCAGTTCAGTCTGGAGAAGAAAAGGCTATAGGTGCCACAGAAAAGCTATCCTCAGGTGCCTGAGGGTGGTTATTTGTAGGAAACAAAACTTGTCCTTTATGCTCCCTTGGAATTAGCCACTAGGACAAGAGGTTGGAGTCAGCAAAGAGATAGGCTTGGTTCTGTGTTATAAGATGAAATGGACCACCTGAACAGGAAATAACTTCCCTGACTCTAGAGGTATTTCAGCACCAGCAACTGGAGGCCACATGTTTTAAAGAGATTTAGTGTTTGAGTGAGTGAAGTAAGGTTCTTTCCAAATCCAGTTTTCATTCGTTCACACTTTCATTGCTTCATCCTGACAGTCACTTATTGAATGCTGATCACTGTGGCAGAAACAGTATTGTTGTTACCAAGTTCAAGCTCATGCTGCTTGCCACAGTAAATCGAGGGATGAGGTATTGGGTCAAGGAATAGCACTTTTCTGACTTTATTCAGAAAGCCAGTGGACCAAGAAGATGGTGGACTAGTGTCCCAAAGAACCGTCTTAATCAGAGCTAGACTCACATGGCTAGTTGTTGCAGACTTCTTGATACCAGAATTCTTTGTTCTCAGAGCTGTCCAAGTAGGTCTGGTCATAACATTCCCGTAAACCTCCAATAGGACCATTGTTATTTTCTTTTCGGCAACTTTTTATTCTTATATGAATACTTTAAAGGTCAGAGCCTTGAGAATGGGCTGTAACATACATTACAGGCAACATTCTCTTATAAAAGGTGCAGAGGCAGCATGGCTAAGTACAGGCAACAGAGCACAAGAGTTAGAGCCAAAGGATTAGATCCAATATGCAGTCCAATATGCAGTGTTCTTCTCAGTTACATTGTTAAGTTATGAGGGTAAAATAATGAGTTCTCTGATGATACCTACACTCAGAGATTTCCCAGTCTTAAAGAGTATATAAAAAGGAAAATAAATTATCACAGTAACAAGACATGAGAAATCATCTGTTATTCTTCCACATCACCACCTGTTTTGTTTATCTGTAACAGTGCACCAAGAGTTGTGGTGAAGGCTCCAGGTACCGGAAGGTGGTATGTGTGGATGAGGACAAAGGTGGTGAGGTTCACGGCATGCACTGCGACATGAGCACACGGCCTGTGGACCGCGAGAGCTGTAGTCTGCAGCCCTGCGAGTATGTCTGGATCACAGGAGAATGGTCAGAGGTATGGTCTTGGGGGTTCTGGAACTGCCTTCAGGCAGCAATGGCCTAGGGGTGACAGACTGATGAGGGCAAGAATGTGGGAGACACACACCTACCTGCTGGTTCTTTCCCTGAGAACTGGAAGCCCTCAGACAAGTCCCTCAGCCTTCCTGGGCTGGAGTCCTACATATGCAAACCGGGGGAGGTTCATGAGATGGTGTCCAAGCTCCCCTCAACTCTAAAATCATGTGATTCACCCTGATGTCCTGTTATTATCATTAGAAAGGAATTCTTAGAGGATGGCTCCAGGTGCCTGAAGAAGGTTAAGTATAAGAAAATATCTTAGGGGACTTTCCTGGCGGTCCAGTGGTTAAGACTCTGTACAATGCAACAGGTAAGAGTTTGATCCCTCGTCAGGGAACTAAGATCCCCCATGCTGCAGGGCACAACCAAAAAAAAAAGAAAGAAAATATCTTAGCATGAAGGAGGCAATAAGAAATGGTGGGGACTGTGGTGTAGCCTGGTGGGCTGCCGTCTACGGGGTCGCACAGAGTCAGTCACGACTGCCGTGACTTAGCAGCAGCAGTGACAGACTAGCACATGGTGTGTAAGAGGAACAGGTTCTCTTCCCCTCCAGTGAAGGCCATGCAGAAATGTGGGTCCTGTGTTAGCAGAGGTGATCTTTCAGACTCATTCGTAGGATGTTCCCCACCTTATTCCTCTCTCCAACCCCCCACCCCCCAGAGATGAGAGCCTTTTACACATCAGGACTCTGGTGTGCAATGGATAAAGGAAGCCAGAGCACTCAACATTTTCAGGATGCTCTTAAAGCTACTGAAGGGTATGTGTTCTTTTCAGAGCTTGGAGGCCTCTGGATAGAACTTGACCGTTTTTGGAGCTCCCATCCATTGGTATAAAAGACTACCTCCCAGCACATCCCCCACATAAATGGGGATTCCTATTGCTCCCGCCTGGTAGGGGGAAAGGGTCTTAGCAGCTGCCATCTCAGACATTCAGCCTTTAAAGTAATGCAGACTGAGGTCAAGGCGTGCATTTTGGATACTCTGAAATACCCACAGCTTGGCCAGACACCATTTGTAAGCCATCTACCCACGCATGACATATCTCAGATGAGCCGTGCACTCCGCTGGCCTGGTATCAGCTGCATCTTGGGGCATTTGAACAGCAGCAGCCAAAGAAGGAAGTGGACACAGAGTGTTTCCCAGTCTCAAGCCAGCTGGAAGGGAAGGCCCGAGGATGTTCTGCATGCCTGTGGCTGGGCTGGCTCCCTCCTCCCTCAGGGACCCTGTCAAGGGGAGCCTTCCCCCTGGAAATGCTGCAGGAGCGGCCAGCCATGTGGGATAATGTGATAACTCAGGAGACAGCAGGAAAAAGAGACACTGGTTTTAATAGCTAGTGAGAACTGATGGAAGCTATGGTTGTTGTCGTTTAGTAGCTAAGTCTTGTCCGACTCTTTGCAACCCCATGGACTGTAGCCTGTAAGGCTCCTCTGTCCATCAGATTTTCCAGGCAGAGAATACTGGAATGGGTTGCCATTCTCTACTCCACAGGATTTTCCCTGACCAGGGATCAAACCTGCATCTCCTGCATTGGCAGGCAGATTCTTTACAACTGAGCCAAGAAGCTATGATCCCTCACCCTGAGAAAAGCAAAACGCGCCACATGCTGCATACAATTTCCAGGGTTCATCTGGAACTCAGGCCCCTTCTTTGACCTTGAGAATCCTGAAACTCTACTTTAGTTTTGTGTAACATTTTTACAGTGAGTGGCCAATTATTTGATGACTTTTCCCAAAAATATCATCCAAACTAAATTTGTTGGTTAATTTCTGTTCTCTTTTTAAAACAGTATATCATATAAAGTATGTAGCTAAGGAAGTTGAACACAATCTAGAAATCTTACCAATAAGCAATTAAATGTCCCATCACAGAAGGGAGCTGGGACACCCGAGAAAAACTTCTTTTTTCTCCTTTTCTGGATTGTCTGGGTATTTTTAAGTGCCATATAATTATGGCAAAAGGCCTAAATGACTGCATGATTTAGAGAGAGAGTGAAAGAGAAGCAGAAAGGTAACATTTAAGTCAAGATACTGGATTGGCAAAAAGTTTGTTTGGGCTTTCTGCTTCTACAAAACCTGAACGAGCTTTTTGGCCAACCCAATACATAGCCAGGGAGACAGGGGACAGAAGACTGAGCAGAGGGCAGATGGGCAAGCAAACCATCAAGTAGGAAAGGATATTGTCCCACAGTCCTTTTTCGGCAAAGAGCCTGGATTTTATACAGAGGGTGTCTCCGGCGCTCTCTGCATCTCACCGGGTCACTTCTCTGACGCAGTCATGGTAGGTTCAGAAAAGTGTGGTTTGTCCATCCTTGTAGAGCTTTGGATGCTGTAAGTGGACCCAAAGACAGACGGAGCGCCTCCCCCACCTGCTTCTCCCCCTTGAAAATCCAGAGCAGGGGCTTGAGGTGCCCCCCACGGGGGACTGGTTGGGGGCAAATATGCAGTGGGAGCATGGATCCTGGAAGGCTCATGGAGGGCTTGCACGTCCCCTGAGTGCTGTGGGCTGCTGCTTGTAGTGCATTAGAAGCTAATAAAGAGAGCTCTCTGCCCTGTTGTCCCGGGGTCAGCGTTCGATGTGGAGGTCAGGGGCCTATTGTGGCTGCCCCCAGGCCCTGCCCCAACCTCTGCTCTCTACCCGCCTCTTCCCAGTGCTCAGTGACCTGTGGAAAGGGCTACAAACAAAGGCTGGTCTCCTGTAGTGAGATTTACACCGGGAAGGAGAACTACGAGTACAGCTACCAAACCACCATCAACTGCCCAGGCATGCAGCCGCCCAGTGTCCAGCCCTGCTTCCTGCGAGAGTGCCCTGTGTCGGCCACCTGGAGAGTGGGCAACTGGGGGAGCGTAAGTAGACAGCTGGGTGGTCACAGTGGCCGGCTGCTGAGTCTCAGACCCCGACTTAGACGTACCTTCCCTGAGCCTCCCGGGAGAGCCCTGGGAGGGAGACAGGAGTCAGCGTCTTGGAATGGGCTCAGAGGGAAAGAAGGCTGCTCTGACCGGTGGGTCTGGTGCTTAGAGCAGGGGCCGGGGGTGGAGGTGGCTAGCCCTGACGCCAGACAGCCTCCACCTGATTCTCGGTTCTGCCACTTCCCAGTTGAACAGCCTTGGTGGTGGTTGCTCAGTCACTCACTTGTGTCTGACGCTTTGTAACCCCATGGACTGCAGCATGCCAGGCTTCCCTGACCTTCACCATCTCTTAGAGCTTGCTGAAATTCATGTCCATTGAGTCGGTGGTGCAATCCAACTATCTTGTCGTCTTTCATCCCCTTCTCTTCCTGCCTTTGATCTTTCCCAGCATCAGGGTCTTTTCCAGTGAGTCAGTTCTTTGCATCAGGTGGCCAAAGTATTGGAGCTTCAGCATCAGTCCTTCCAATGACTATTCAGGACTGATTTCTTTAGGATTGACTTGTTTGATCTTTGGACAAGGAGCCAAATGTTCATGTCTGTTTCGTCCCCTGCAGAATGGGTTATGAAGATGAAATGAATATTCATGCATAAAAACCACTTGGATTATAATGACACCTTTTTAAGTTCCACATGTTTGAACACAATTTAAAATTAAAAAGCACCCAGAACTCTTGTCTTTCCCCTAATAAAGGCTATAGAAGTGTTCACTGTTGTAGCTTCTGTTGCTAAGAAGCCTGTTTGTCCTTCTGGATCAGGAATTCTTGGTTGCGTTAGGGTTATAACAGGTAAGAATATTTGAAATTGAAACTGCCCTAGAAAATTGCCCCAGCTTCCTGGCTACTAACTATGAGACTTTCACTGATGCACAGTGATGATCAGGCAGAAGTTTGGGACCAGTTGGAAGTGATTGAGGTTTCAGTCATGGATCCACCGTGACCTTAAACAAACTTCCTCACATCTGAGCCCCAATTTTCCCTCTCTAAAAATAGAATAACACTAGTACTATCTCGTAGGGTGATTGCAAGGCTTAGATGAGAAAATTATTTATTTCTCATATGCTTGAGTACCTATGTAGGTACATAAGTACATATGTAAAGGCAGGTATGTATAAAACTCAGCACAAAGACTGGCCCATAGGAAGTGCTGTCCATGTATCAGATATTTGTTTTTAGCAACACAGGGGTTCTGAACAAGCCTCTAAGCTCTGAGCTCCATGCCTCAGGAAGCCCAGGCCCCCAGGTTCCGCAGACCCCTCACAGACCCTGCTCTGCTTACAGTGCTCTGTGTCGTGTGGCGTGGGAGTGATGCACAGGTCTGTGCAGTGTCTCACCAATGACGACCAGCCCAGCCACTTATGCTCTGCTGACCTGAAGCCAGAAGAAAGAAAAACCTGCCACAATATCTATAACTGTAAGTCAGCCAACCAAAGCCACCTTTCTGGAGCTTGAAGAGTAGGTCTCATTGTTGATGCGCTTGCATGCCCTTTTCTGGAGTAGAGAGTTTATTTTTGAGACATTGGCCCCACGCTGACCACTGTGTGCATGATTAGTGTAACCGGTCCCATTGGCAGCCACTGCAGACTCACCACTCATGTTCATGGGTTTGTGTATTCTAGGTGAGCTGCCGCAGAACTGTAAGGAAGTGAAAAGGCTGAAAGGTGCCGGCGAAGATGGGGAATACTTCCTGATTGTCACAGGAAAGCTCCTGAAGGTACTCGTCCGAGCTCAGTTATTATTTCTACACTGCTTTCAGAGCCAGCAGTCCTGGCTGTCATGGTCCCATTTCTGAGCCTCCCCTGGCAGGTTTTGTCTGGTCTGTCTTTCAGGTCTTCTGTGCAGGGATGCACTCTGACCACCCCAAGGAGTATGTGACACTGGTCCATGGCGACTCTGAGAATTTCTCTGAGGTTTACGGGCACAGGTAGGAGAACTCCAAGCTCAGAAGAGCCCAGACCACCTGGAGATCCCTAGAAACGCCTCCCCATCCTCACCAGAACATTCTCTCTGTCTTGTAGGTTGCACAACCCAACCGAATGCCCCTACAACGGTAGCCGACGTGATGACTGTCAATGTCGGAAGGACTACACAGCGGCTGGGTTCTCCAGCTTCCAGAAGGTCAGAATAGATCTGACCACCATGCAGATCATCAGTAAGTCCCATAGAGCATTCTGGGGCATGTGTCTGTGGGTCTTTCCATTCAGGCCATGACACATCCTGCTCAGGGGTTGGGCCGAGGCCCAGAGGGTATGAAAATGAACTTACGATCCAGGGATGACAACCCTGGTCTAAGCTGCCTGAAGGTGGGGTTTGCTCCACCTTTGATCACTGTGGTCCCCCCAGTGCCTGGAAAGGGCTGAGCAGTGGGCGGTTCTCCATCAGATTTGTGATGAGCAGAGGAGACAGAGGCACATTAAAGGGGTGCCATCATAGTGGGAAAGTCAGGGCAGCGTCTCCCAAAATATGACATCATAGTTGAGACCTTAAGGCCAAGTGGGAGTGAGCCAAGTCTTGAGTTAGGCAGAGCAAGCATGGAGCAGGGGTTCTGAAGGAAGACGTTTTAAGGGATCAGATGCAGACTCTGAAGCAACATTCACCCCACCCTGGGCTCCCACCAGCAGTGTATATACAGGGGCACATGTGCACACACATGCACATGCACACACATACACACACGAGAGCAAAAAACTAACTTGCTCTGATGGCCAATTTACAGAAGAAATATGGAGGACAGAATTACCTATTTTTTAAACTAGCCTGCCCGTGGGCTGATTTCATACTCTGGCCAACACTGCATTTTTGTTAGGGACATTAATCATAGGAGTGGTTAAAGACAGCTCAAATATCCCAACCCGTTCCCTCGAATGGAGGGAAAACAGAAATAATGGATAATTAAGTTTTCTTCATTAACATTGTTCCTGTAATCTTGCCTTGCTTTCCTCTGGAGGTAGATTACACTTGATTTGTACCAAGATATTTTTAATTGCCTTCAGCCAGACTGATGAGGGCTAAGGGCAGAGTCTGCAGTTTTTCCCACTTAAATACTGCCCCAGCTGAGACCCAGAGCTTCCTGGTGCTGAAGCTGGAAAAGGCAGGATGGGGGACTCAGATTTCCCTCCCACAAAACTGCAGAAAAGAATGAGGCCTTCTCTTGCTATTCCCAAAAGACAAAGCAGAAAGTTTTAAAAAGCTGCCTCTGGTCTCCAGTCCCCATCAGATTTTGCAGGATTCTCAGTCTGTCTGCTCCCGAGCCGTCTTCCCCAATCTCCCAGCTGTTCTCAGGACCTACATGAGGGTTAAAAACGCGAGCATTGTTTTTATTGGCTTTTTTAAAAACTACAAGTTAGCCCCAAACTTGAGAAACTGCCATTAATATTTTCAAGATGTGGGTTCTAATTGCTCCACATTTTGGCAACTAGACTGCCTGGGCCACAGGAGGACAGCTGAGCCTCGGGGAGGAACTGCTAAGTAGCTGGAAATGCTTGGATGGCTGATTTCCCCAGTCCTGCAGCCTCCGAGGCTGCCGTCTACTGGAGGTTCACAGTCATCCAATTACACTGCATTTAAGCGAGGTGATTCACACATTTATTTATATAATAATCGAGCCCAGAGTCATCTGAAACCCCCTTTTTTGGGTTCCATACTGTGAGGAGACAGACAGTGCTGGTAAAACCCAGGGAAGGAAGCTCTCGGAACCACAAATATAGTGACTGGGGGAATGGGGAGCAGAGCAAGTGTACATCTGGATCCATTTGCTCACTAATCATATTTTGGATTGTTGTTTTTTTTATTTCCCATACCCACTTACGACTTCTCTAACTCTTCTTCTCCCCTTCTGTCTCCTTGTTAATATCCTGTCCCTTCCCAAACTCTTTCTCCTCCTCCCACCTTTCCCCTCCCTTCACCCCTTTCTCCAAAACCCCACAGCCACTGACTTACAATTTGCCAGGACCAATGAAGGACATCCCGTCCCCTTTGCCACTGCTGGGGACTGCTACAGTGCCGCCAAGTGCCCACAGGTACGAACCAGGGACGCCGACCCACCGCCCCCAGGGATCCACAGCCCACCCTGGCCACCCCACCCCCACCCTGGGCTGCATCTGTGTCTGTAAATGTAATCAGAATGGCAGTTCTAGCTCTGCAAGGCAGTTTGGCCACCTGTATCCAGGCCTTACAGATGCTCCCAGCCTCTCAGCTCCTAGGGGTGCTTCCTAAGGAAATGGTCATGGCCATGAGCCAGACTTCTGCATTCAGCAGAATGCATCAGTGATCATGGTAAAATCTTATAAAGAAATCAGATATCAGATGGCAAGCTTTGGTTAAACAAATGATGATGTTGGTAAATGTTTAATGACTGGCTCTCCAAGGGATGGAGGCAGGGGGAAGCAGTGGTTTGTAGCATTTGCCCATTTCTGGGGTGTCAGTTTTCTCCCTGACTGGTTTCAAGTCGTCAGTATCCTATCACACACAGGAGAGTTAGGGAGATGTGCACACAGTCGTCTCTCAAAAGGCAGTACAAGCAGATTCCAACACTCTGCTGTCAGACATTAAAAATTCTGAATATTGCATGACACAGAAAAACTGTCAGTCCAGTTTCCACTGTGTAAGCCTGCAGCGTCTGGACCAGGAAGTGCAAAGCTGTCTCCTGGATTCTGTCTCCAGCAGAGCTGCTCAGTGGCAGTCTTACCCATTCGACAGTTGCGCAGGTTTTTGCCTCCTTAGAGGTGTGGCTTGTTAATTTGGCTTGCCTTTTAAAACAGGCTGTTATAATCATCCTTGGCTCACTTTGCCAAGTAGGCGTCAGTCTTTGCCACAGGCTTCTGCAAGGAGAAGGCAGGAGACATGTAATGAATTAGGTGATTCTGGACAGAAGAACCTAGCCCCAGTTTTTTCGCTGGTTTACATGAGGTCTTTATAAAGCTGTTGTCATACTCTGTGTTGGAAATCTTCATGTTGCTGTGAGCCTTCACAGGTTCTAGGAATTGGGACTGGGAGATGCTCAGAGTGCCAGGCACTGCCTCCCCAGGATGCATTTACACACAACTAGAGACCATCCAAAGACAAACACATCTGAGTTTTCTTTTAACGACGTGTTTTCTCAGCCCCAAGCTTTAGAAAGTATTGCTAAACATTTTAGAGAAGTGAAAAGGAAGCTCTCAGGGGAGAAAGAAAATAAACAAAGGACAGAATGTTAAAAGGGGCCTTTTCTCCATTACCCAGGAATTGAAAACTTTTGAAGTGCGGTTTCTTTAGAGCACTTGATGACTTCAAACACCCCGTTAGTATGGGTTGCATTTAACAGCTTATAGATTGGCCGTCCCTGCCCTTTTCAAATGCCTCACGATTTTCTTGTTTCGATATGTGCATCTTTGGGGAAACTTAAGTAAATGAGAGGTAATTTGCATTCGATTATTTTGATAACTCAGAGACAAAGGAACTGATTGATTTGCTAAATCCTGACACTAATGCAGTTGCTAAGTGAGAAAAGCAAAGCCAGTGAGAGGCTAACTTGTATTTTTTCCAGTCCATTCTTCAAATCGTATCAGATACTTTTAGAATTCAATTCCTTAGAAGTTTATTGAGCACCAACAATGCTGATGAAAGGTGGGAGTTTTTCAAATCACTTTTCCAGGGAAATGTCTGTAGAAAGCAGGACTGTGCAAACTACTCTGGAGTCCTGCTTGTCCCTGATCTGTGACTGCAGAGATATCCAAGCAGAGCGATGTGTTTGACAATCTGCTTCTTTTTCCTCCTCATCCACTGCTGTTGCTTTAAGGATCTATGTATCATTAAGGGTGGGTTCCCCAAGAGCCCTCGACTCAAGATACGGCCAGAGTGTATGTTGTTATCCTGATCATAGTGCATGTGGCGTTATTATTACTGATGCTGGTGTTATGAGTATCTGCTGAGTGTTCACTGCACTTGAGACACTGTGCTCAGAATTTCTAAATCAGGGTAGCGTTTAATCATACACAGCATCCTGTGAGAACGCTCAGATGAGGCAGCTGAGAGGTGTGGAGAGGTCAGGTGACTTATCCAAACCCACGCTGGTGCTCGGGAGAGGCCAGATTTGATGCCCAGTACATCTGAGTCCGAATCCATGACAGCAGATGTGTCTGGCTGATCCCATTTTCAGACAAGACCTGTACAGCATACAGCCTTGTCCAGCAGAGAACAAAACCCCCCTTTGTCAGTGCTACATCTTTTGCTGACCTTTCTGGAATATCTAGTGTATGCATGCCTTAATCACCTTTACTCTTAAATCAGCAGCAGGAGATAGTAGCTAAAACTCTCATGCCCTTTAGACCCTGAAGATAAGGCCTGTGGGGACAGAGCGGGAAAGGACAGTAGGCCTACACTCCACTGATGACAGGCAACTTTCAAAGTGCTAATTATCAACTAGGATGCTGGCTAAAAATGCAAATCCCTGACCCTGAAAAGACCAGAGAGAGAATAACAAAAACTTGTTTATCACCTGCTCTGAAAAGGCAGATCTAGGCAGCATGTAATCCGCTCAGCTACGTGCTCAGACACTGAACACGGAGATCAGCATGACACATCCTGGGGCTTGGAAGCCTGTTCCTTCTAAGAACTTTGACGTCAAAGCATATCACGTCTGTCTTCTGAGATGTAGGCTCGACAGGTAGTCTTCATGGGAAACAGGATAAGGAAGGAAAGAAGGTGTCCTTGGCAATAGTGAGGATTGGGCGTTGTGATCAGTGTGGATGCCCTCTTCAGGGGAGGAAGGCTAGGAAGGTAAGAATTGGCCAGGTGGGCTAATGTAGCATATCCAGAAGCCAGTGTCTAAGGAGGCTAGGCAAGGAGGGTTTTGAGCATCTGGTGTAACCACAATCACAGATACTTGGGTATTGAAGTCACTCAACACGACAGCCACCAACATCTGTGTGGTACTGTCATAAAGCAAGTTCCAAAAATATTTTTAAAACCTCACCTATTCTCTGCCAGGTAATGGGCTAGGTGTGTCATATCTTCTGTAATTCTAGCTTAATACCCATTTTACAGATGGCCTCAAGAAGGGTAAGCCGTTTGCCTGAGATCACACTAAAGGCAGAAGAGTCAGGATTCTAGGATAAATTCCTCCCCCTGACCACAGCACGACTGATGTTTTGGGCTGGATAATTCTCTGTTGTTGGGGACTAAGCTGTGCCTTGTAGGATATTTAGTAATAACTCTGGTCTCTCTGCATCAGCTGCTGGTGGCTTACGTACCCACCAGCTGTTTCATGGCAACCAAAAATGTCTCCTGAGGTTGCCAGATTTCCCGTGGGGGCAAAAATGTCCTCTGATGACATCCACTGATTTAGACCGCACTAAATCCTCCCATCACCTCTGTGAATAGGAACGTTCTTTGTTCCCAGTGTACAGACATAGGATTTAAGGCCCCTAAAGAGTTCATAAACTGTTTGGCATTTATGGGACCAACATGGAGAGGAAACCTCCAAGTTACACTTGATCCTGGAAGTCTTTATGGAAGAGCTAGCATGTAATATTTATATTTATAAAGACTATAACAGGGCTTTCTGATGGCTCAGCTGGTAAAGAATCTGCCTGCAATATGGGAGGCCTGACTTCGATACCTGGGTCGGGAAGATCCCCTGGAGAAGGGAATGGCAACCCACTCCAGCATTCTTGCCTGGAAAATTCCATGGACAGATAAGCCTGGTGGGCTGCAGTCCATGGGGTTGCAAAGAGTCAGACAGGACTGAGCCCCTAAGCACAGCAAGACTGTATCAAGTGCCTCGTCGTGTGTTACAAACCGTAACTGATATAAATAAGCAAAGCAGTGCCACGTCCCACCCCTCAATAAGCTTACTGCTAACTGGAGAGGGAAAACGAACACTTACAAAACAATAAGAAAATACAGGACTAATACCAGTATTTTTGAATATCTGTTAGGGACCAGCCATACAGTCCTCAGCTAATTTCATTTAGTCCTCACTATACTACTCTGAGGAAGACACTCTTATTATTACCTTCCATTTTACAGATGGACAAACTGAGGTTCCTACAGGGTAAATCATCTGTCCACATCAAAAGCCTACTTTACACTTAGGTCTGATTAGGTGTGAGCCTCCACCTCACTACTCTCTCTGATGTATTTAAGACCGTTTTGACAAAAAACTCCATCCTAAGGCTCAGAGAGGAAGCCTTCACCCACTGTCTGTGGTTCTTGCAGAAAGCACACTTTTTACTCCCAAACCGCTCGTGAATCTATTTAAGATGCCTTTGTGGAGTCATTTTTGCAAGAGAGAAATACACAGAGACAGATGGAGAAGGCAAGAAAGGCTCTCTGCTGCACTGTCTCGTTGGAAATAAAAATGGAAACACCCGAGGCCACGCTTGGCAAGGAATCCCACAGCGCAGCTGGGAGGTGTGGGTTCCCTGGGCCTGGCAGCTTGGCGGGCCCTGCCTTGGTCTAGCGCAGGCCGCGCGCGCCCTCTGCAGGCTAATCTCGAGAACGCGCCGCTCCTTTGAAGTCTCGCCCCGCTGTGCTTGGGACTCAGCGTGCTCAACACTGTGGGGAGCTGAAGCCCGGGAAGCTTTGGCAGCGAGATCTTGTTAAAAAAATTACACTGTGGCATTTTGTTCCTGTAGGAATCTGATAATTGTGAGCAACACCAAGATTGCTGTGTTAGGGACGCAGAATAGCGGTGGTTGAGAGTGAGGACTTTGAAGTTAGGAAAATTTGAGTTGGGCTTTTTGTGTCTCCTGGAGAAGTTAATCACCTTCGCCAGGCCTCCCTGTCCCCATCTGTGAGGAAAATCCCCTTCAGATTGCTCTTGCAAGGATGGGTGAGATGATGCATGTAAAGTGCCTCGTTCAGAACCGCCCCCCACCACCACCACTACAAAGAACCCTCAGTCATTAGTTAGCTATCATAATGAATTAATATCTTTCTCCAGGTTACCTTTTTATTGTGTGGGACCTTTGCTCAGGATGTCACGTGGACTAAAAATCTTGTTCACTGGCCATTTATTCCAGGGTCGTTTTAGCATCAACCTTTACGGAACCGGTTTGTCTCTAACTGAATCTGCCAGATGGATCTCCCAAGGGAATTACGCCGTCTCTGACATCAAGAAGTCTCCGGTAAGGGTCCCCATGGCTTGGAGGATGAGTTCTGTTTTCTCCTCCTCTTTCCCTCCCTCTGAGGCTATGGTGCTAAAGGAACTTCCTCAAACCATTTTACAAAGTGTCAGGAAGAAAACTGAGGACATAAATGGAAGGTTGGCACGTGGACAGGTGAGTGGAGCAGAGTCTTGCTTACCCTTCTGATGAATTCTTCCCAGAGATGTGAACCTGAGTACCAGGAGCAATCAGAAGGATGCCTAACCAGGAAGCCGAAAGCACTCAGCAGCCTCTAAGGGTGCGTGTGGCTCAGATATCTTGCAGTTAATTAACCAACATGCAGTTAAACTATGCGAGCTTAGGGACAGTGATGTCTGTTTCAGAAGAAATGAAATAATACAAAAAGGGCTGGAAAAAGGAGTTGTTCATTAGGAGGGTTTCTGAAGAATGAGAGAAAAACTCACAGGCTCTACAAGTCAGTTCTTCCTGCTCTAAAATCTAGCTGTTCACGGTGGGATCACCCCAGAGCACCCGAATTACCTGGCAACTTGTTGACAGTGAAAATTCTGGGGCCCCAGAGCTTCTGAGCAAGACCTACAGCTGAGGAAGCTCTCAGATGGACACTCTGAATCCGCTCTGGTCTGGTTGCTCAGCCTGGGGGTATGTTAGAGTTACTTGGGAAAGTTTAAGATGCATGTACCTGGGCCCCATCCAGATTCACTGAAAGGGAATCTGTGACAGGGGCAGAATTTGAAATTCCCCAGGGGTGTCTAATGTCTACTGGGGCAGGAAGCGCTGCCCTTTCCAGCCAAGAAGTTCCGAGGTTGCGGGGCAGGAGCTGACCCACAGGCAAATGGGAAACTTACGAGGTGTGGCCTGTAGCCCCAGTCCTGCCACAGCTGTGACCTCTGTCTCAGGGTCTCCTCAGAAAAGTAAGTAATGGAGAGAGAAGAGGACCAGAAAGTGGGGTATTACTCGGAGGTGAGGTTGCCAACAAAATACAGGATGCCCAGTTAAATTTGAATTTCAAATAAGGAAGATTTTTAATTTTTTTTTTTTTACTATAAGCACATCTGAAACATTGTATGCGACATACTTTTTCTTTAAAAAAAAGTGTTGTTTATCTGAAATTCACATCTGACTGAGCAGCCAGTGTTTTTATTTGCTAAACCCTATCAAAATCTGAATATAAAGAAACAGCTCAATCAGCCTGCTTCTACCCAGGAAGAGAAGAAACATCAAGTATGATGTTCCAGGAATATTTCAGAGGTTTTTTTTAGCTTCAAGGGTTGAATTTGTGTCTTTGAAAAAAAAAAAAACTTCTTCTTTTCTATATGAAGGTCAATTAACTCCTTCAACTCTGATTTAACTAAATGGCTATCTCGATTGCTTATAATTTAATCATTAATATTTTTGCTTGTATTGAAAGAAAGAGAACCGAGAGACAGCACACTTGCTGTGCTTTACAGTGGGCCCAGAAATTATGTTCTTGTGTTCTGCTTTATATTATGTTGCAGTGACCAAGAGAGACCAAAAAAATGCATTGCCTCAAACGTGGTCATACTTAAACCATGATTATGTAGAAAACCATCTATGTGAACAGTGTTGAAACCTTAGTTTCAGTTTTGTTAGGGTCATTGCAGTGGTCATCCAGAACCTAAAAATAATTGCAGCCTGGAGCGCCACCTTGTGGAGATAATGATCACTGCCCTGCCGAGATGGGCTGGTTGTTCCCCTAGCCTTAGGGGGAGGTTCCGCCTGTGCCGAAGGGAATTGGTTTCACAATTGCCTGTCAGAAATTTTTTTATTTTTTTAAATCTTGGCGTTCCCTGACAGCTCAGAGAGACAGCTCAGAATTAGTCTCAAGGGTCTGTCGAGCACTCCTTATTAATCCCCATGAGCCAGAACTAAGCAATCTGTAGCTCCTCACAGCCCCAGAAATGAGGCTCTGTGTGCCTGGCCTGCTGTGCCGTTCACAGAGCAGCATCCTCTAGGGATGCTCCGTGGAAACAGGCTTCCAAAGCCTAAGACACTTGGGGGAAAATTGTATATTTTATTTCCTTCTGGAAGAGTCACAGTAACCATGCGTGTATTGGAGGTTGGAATAAAGTGTACAGGAAGGAAACCTGTGTGGTTCTATTGAAGCCAGCATTTCCCTAAATCAGTGGTTCTCAGACTTGGGCCAGGACTTGCTGAAACACAGCCAGCCTGGGGAGGGGCCTGAAATGTACATTCCCAACAATTTCCCGGGTGCTGCTGATGCCCTGGTCTGGGACCACGTTTTGAAAACCACTGACCTAAGTTAAACCAGTCACAGAGCCCTCTCTTCAAAGTCAGACCTTAATTTCCCCAAATTACCATTGTTCCACACAACACACTGTGAAGAACTGTGTCACATCCTGCTCCCAGCTTGCCTCACCGCTGTCTTGCTTCTGAGGGGCTGAAGCCGGTCTGCTGTATTTTATACAGATCCTGGCCAGTCCTGATCGATTCTCCAAACAGCCCTGCTTTGATTCAGTCCTCTCATCTTCACGCTTCACTTTCTTTCACTTTTCTGCTGGGAGCACCAGATGGAAAAACACAATGGAATCCTCCATTTTCTAAACCTGCTTGGTGATAAAATGCTTTTTCCCCAAGAAAAACTAACGGAAAGCTCTAGTCATTCAGGGTAAAACTGAATTACCAGAACCACTTGTCGGATGGGTGCAGGGTCTCACCAACAGGAGCAGACCTGGTAAAAATAAGTCTCGGTGTCAGGCTTATTATTGGCTGCCCGTATATGTGTAGTGGGAAGAATTCTAATTTTTTTTTTTTTTTTTACTGATAAGGACTTTTGTTATTGAAATAGCCTCTATTATTGAAAGAGCCTCTGTTTACTGGACACTTTACATACCTTCAGTCGCATTCCTTCAGGTTACTCATTGACTTCTTGGGAGAGCACTGTCATCAAAGCCCACAGAAGCTGCAGAGCATAGAGGTTAAGCCTCCAGGCCCTTAAGTCATATCGCCTGACATGCTTTTACCAGTTTGGCCATCATGGCAAGTTATTTAATTTCTCAGGGGCCTCAGTTTCTTCATCTATAAAATGGGTATCATGGTGGTCTTAACCCAGTTGGGTTCTTGTGGAGCATAAATGAAATAGGGAGATAAAGCTGTTTGCATGTCACTGGACAGGCAGCAGGGGCACAGTAAGCATTAGCTGTCAATGCTATCACATTTTTATAGGCCTAAGGCTTGCCATAACGTTGCAGAATTGTCACAGTGGTGAAAGATGCAAGCTGGCTTGTGATGGGAGGATGGGACTGCAGCCTGAGCAGAGGCTGAGCCAGGACCTGGCTGGTACCCACCACACCACGTGGATTTTGTCTACACGGGCCCTTCCCCATCCAGGACCGAGGCATATGGGATGCCTCCTGGGTCCAGGCATGGGCTTCTAGACAAACGCTTTGACTGTACCAAGTTTTTGCTCTGTGGGTGAGGGGCAGCCAGACAGAACGGGGGAACTTGGCCCACCTGTAAGATTGGAGAGATAAGATTGGCATTTTAAGCTCCTCTGCCAGTGATATTCTGTGCTTGCCCAACTCATGAGTGCACTCAGGATGTGAGAGGACCCTCAGCCCCTGTCTGGAAGAGACCCCCTGCCACCACTCCCCCCACCCCGAAAGGTGCCCATTCTCAGAGCTACTGTCTCGCCTTCCGTCCTGGAGGAGGTTCCAGAATGGCCCTCAGAGCCGGCCCAGTGAAGCAGGCCCCTGTAAGCAGGGCGGGAGGGGCGTCCTTGGGCCTGTGTGCTGCTCTCTGTTCTAGGGGGTGGGCCCGGGGCTGAGAGGCGCTGGGAGCTGAACCCTGAGGCCCAACCATCACTGGTTTTTCTGAGGGAAGGGCTCTAAATCCAAGAATTACTTTGAAATTAAAAATTAAAGTTGTATTACTGTATGGGAGATGGATTCAGTTCCTGTTTTTGTTTTTTTTATCTTTTAGTTCATTTACAACCAATGGAGTTTAAGTAGCATGAGATAAATGCGTGTGTGTGTGTAGCAAGCAAAGAATCAGTTCTCTTTTATCTACTATAAGCTGCGTCCTAACCCACAATTCATTTGTGAAAATTCAGTTATCCACCAAGTATAAAAATCATACATTTACTAAAGACAAGTGGAGTGAAACTACCGTTTATACATGTGTACATTTTATTTTGTATGATCCCATAGAAGTTAGATATTTATACATTGTGTGTGTGTGTGTGTGTGTACATTTGTGTATGTGTGATTAGGACTTTATTTGGAAAAAAAAACAAATACTGTTGTTTTTTTTTAATGGACACTTTCACTCCCAGCAGTTCCAAAGAAATGTAAATAAGCATACTTCAGTCAAAGATGTGCTGGCTTCCCTAAATTACACAAATCAACCTCTTGGTCATATTGACTGCAGAAAACAGAGAAAAGAGTGAAAAGTATGAACTATAAACTGTTCTTAATGGAACACAGAGTTGCTCATTTTAATTATATGTAATAGCTCAAACTCTGCTGACAAAATATTTGTTGAAAAGAGATTTTTAGTGGACCTGCTTTAATGGAGAAATAAAAATGATTTACAGTTAATGTTTCATTGTATGAGAGTGGGTACTTCTAAAGTGCTGGAAAACATACGCTTTTCTCTGAAATAGGCACTGCTGTTTCCATGACAATCATGTTTATGCTATTTATTTTCTCAGTACATATATTTTTTATTCTGTACTAGAAATAAGTGTTAGTTCAACCTTTACCTAAATGACATTAATAGAGTCCTAGTTAATGAAATAACATGAACATTGCAGAGCGAGTATCAGTGATTTTATAATTACCCAGACTATTCCTTATCTTCATGAGAACAGGCTATGATGGAAACTCACACATTAAAAAGCACCATTATGACAATGATCACTAATAATTGAGCACATACATTAGGCCAAGTGCTATTCTGGGTACTTTATATGCTTTCTTTCATTTGCAGCAAACCTACAAGGGAAGACTTGTATTATCCCCATTTTATAGATACACAAGAAAACTGAGGTTTAAAGAGGTTATTTAAAGATATGATGCAAGTCTGAGGCAATCTGATCTCTGCTGCTGGGGAAGGAAGAGTTTGGGTGGAAAAAAAATCTTTAATGAGACAGAAGGCATTTCTACTATGTCAGCATCCTTAAGGCCACCAGACCTATATACTTCAGCCTAGGGGAAAAGTTCCTGGCTAGAAAACCAGTTGATCTGGCATCAGAACTAGTTGCTGATGTCAGACCAGCTCCAGAACTAACATGGGCCCCTAAAACCAAGACCCAATGGGGTGATAGAACTCAGTCTTCCAACTTATTCTTGTGCATGGATGCTTAGTCGCTCAGTCATGTTTGACTCTTTGTGGCTCCTTGGACTGTAGCACACCAGGTTCCTCTGGCCGTGGTATTTTTCAGGAAAGAATACTAGAGTGGGTTGCCACTTCCTCCCCTGGAGGATCTTCCTGACTAAGGGATCCAACCCACATCTCCTGCGTTGCAGGCCCATTCTTTATCACTGAGCCATCAGGGAAGCCCTTCAAGTTAATCTCACTCATAATTAAAAGCATGCAAATTATTAAAAGAGTGAAACTTACATGATTTTTTTCCTTCAAAATTGGCAGCTATTTTTCCTTTTTAAATGAGATTATCCATTGTTTTCAAAAGACTTCCGTAGTTGGGCCATATGAATCAAATATGGCCCAAAGAGATCCTGAAATGTGCACACAAGTATGATTCACACCAGCATTAGTCCCAGTGGAGAAAAACATCTTAGATGCCACACCTTGTGCAGGAGTCAGGGGTAGAGGGTGGCTCATGTGACATGGTAATTTACAAACTGGGATATGATGCCACAGTTAAACAGGGGTTTTCCATAGCATGAGGGAAGGGTTAAGGGGGCTGATTAGCAGGGCCATTTGAATTGCAGCTCACAGAGAAGCGCGTACTTGTTCAGCCTTCTTCGATTCATTCAACAAATGTGTGTTTAGACCACTGCTAGGTTCTGGGGACCCTAGTATTCTAACAAGGCACTGGCCTTGGCATCATGGGGCTTACATTCCAGTGGGGAAGACAGACATAAAGAGAGAACTACCCCATTTTGTAGGGTCCTGGTAACTCGGTCAGAACGATTTCTCAGAGGAAGTGGCCTCTGGGCTGAGTTCTGAAGAATTTACCAGACAAAAGCTTGTAAACGCAGAGTCCAGTTCACACAGAGAAGGAGAGGGCAGAGAGTTCCAGCTAGAGGAACCGCATGTGTGAAGGCCCTGTGTTGAGCCATGTTAGAGGAACAACCCTCAGAAATGCAGAGGGGAGGAGCAGAGCAAGACAGATGCAGACAGGTAGGACTGTACAAGGCTAGAGACAAGGGTTCAGCGAAGCTTTTCCGTAGAGGACCAGATAATGAATACTTCAGGTTTTGCCATCCAGGAGGTGAAAATCATGGATATTACATACGTATTTATATGACAAGAGTGAAAACAAATTTGCACAAAAAATTTAGTGATTAAACCCAAAGCAGAATAGTAATCGAGTGTAAATTTTTGTTATCCAGAATCCACCAAGGAAATGAATGAAATATTGAGAAAGGATAACATTTTGCTTAATCAGTGTTCTCTGTTACCAAAATTGTTTCAAAGTGTATGTTTGTTAATGCTGATCTGAAATGAGATGTTCTGCACTTCATCTTTATGAATGTCTTTTTGCAGAGATAGGTATTGCCAAACACTACTGTCGTCTACAACCACAGCATTTTAATTGAGCACATGCATGCCCTGGGAGCAGTTGGTGGGATTCCGTTAGGTTTTTCACTTGGTATTTGCCTTTCTGCACATCATTACATTACAGATGAATCACTTGTACCTGAAGGTGAAATGGGAGCTCTCCTCAGTTACCTCATTAGATGGATTTTCAAATATGAAAATTTCCTTTGCACTTACATCCATGTCCAAAAAATGCTGCTGAAACTGTCCACACTCACAAAGTATTTCCACTGTAAATGTATGTGGAATAGCAATAAAGCTTCTCATTTTTAACATTTGACAGATTGGGAAGTGTACAAAGCACCTTAACATGATTTATGATTCAAACAATGTTAGTTGTTATTGAAATGACTTTACCACAGTATAACTTTTGCCTGTAAGTGCAGTTTTTGCCTTGTAATTTTAGCTTCAGTTCATTAAGAAACATTATCAAGTCAACAACAAAAGGCCATGTCCAAAGCCATTAAGTTCAATGACATTGATTGAGAACAGTTCTTCTAGTTCAGAAAATTATTTATCCCGTCCCTGAGCTCAAAATTCATGATAAAACTTTACCACTCCTAGGTCATCCAACTGTTCTATGTTAGGATAAGTCAGAGTATTCAACTTCTAGTCCTGACCCACAAATTCCCAGAACTGAAGAAGATAAAGTCTATGATAGAAAAAGAAGTTCATTATTAACACCATGGGCTCCGTGACACTGGAGAGGTTCTTGTATTTCCCACAGTGAGTAATCACAGGCGTTAAGCATCTTACATTTTCACAAGCTTTGTAAATCAGTCCAAATAAAGCTTCTCCTTCTCCACACATGGGTCTTACCATTATTAGTTGTCAACACATCTCATCAGATTCCTCTTCAGTTTTTGCAACTAGTATTTTCTCTATCTCTTGGACATACTGTCACCCATACTTCTTCCACACAGAGCATTCATAGAGACTGATTAGTTGGTTCCTTCACAACTCAGCACAGTCTCCTCAAGCAGCTGAAAGAGTATCAGTAAAATCTATCTTCTCATCAAAAACCACAGGAAACCATTCCAATTTGCTTCATTTTTTAATTGTTTATTGATGTGGCTCCCAAATTTCATTAAATTTTTGAGCAACTGGTCTTGCCAAAAGGATAACAGTGTTTAACAAATTGATTTTCTCTGGACATATGTCTTCTGCTGTTACAATTAAACAAGATTTCATGAACTCACCTCCTAGTAGACTGTTTTCTTTGTGTCGCTAACAAATGAGCCACTTGGACGCTTACATATTTTCATCTTTTATCCTTGCTCACTTTGATTTCTTGTTTTTGTGAAGAATTACACTATGAAGAGATATTCTTAAGTTTTCCAAATTCCTGAGCATTGCTTGCCTGGGAGTTGGGAATACCATGCACATGCTCAGCGTGGTGATATTGGTGTATAGTGTATTCTTTTAACACAACTTCAGTGTCATTGTGTGCTTCCCCGCTGGCTCAGGAGCAGAGAACCCACCTGCAGCGCAGGAGACGCAGGAGGCACAGGTTTGATCCCTGGGCTGGGAAGATCCCCTGGAAGCGGACATGGCGACCCACTCCAGTGTTCTTGCTGGGAAAATCCTGTGGAGAGAGGAGACTGGTGGGCCACAGTCCATGGGGTTGCAAAGAGTTGGATATGACTGAGCACATGCATACATAGTAATCATTGCATGATGAATGCAGTGCTTTGCCATGTAAGTGTGACAATGGAATAATCCATCCTACTGTACCTTAAAAGTACAATAAAGTCTACTTTTGTTGTCTTTTCTTATTTTGGCATATACTGGTTATATATAAAAAAAAGAAAATGTTCTAATACTGCAATATGCATGGCACTCAAAACAGGTTACAGTGTATCACTGTGACTTGTGTGCGGAGTAGCAGTGTGAGGCTGTGAAACCGACCACTCACCCTGCTGTTGTAACGTGAAAGCAGCCACGACGTGAGAAAAGTAAATGGATGTGGCTGTATTCTGATAAAACTTTATTGATGGGCCCTGAAATTTGAATTTTTTTTTTAATTTGAATTTTATGTCTTTTCTACCTATCAAGAATTAGTATTCTCGGTTTGCTGCTTCCCAACCATTTAAAAATATAAATGCTCTTCTTGACACTGGTGACCATGTCAATAATCAGGTTAAAAGCAAAACAATTCTTTTGAGTGATTTCCTTTAGTTCTTGATGAGTGCATAGATTCCTACTGAGACTCTTGAGCTGTGTGTTTGAGGAGACCATGCTGAGTGTGAAGGGAGTAAAGATTAGTCTCCATGAATGGTCTGTGTGGGAGAAGTGCCGGCAAGGATATTTCAAAGAGGGTGAGAAAGCATTGGGGCCAAAAGACTGAAGTGCACTCTGGGAAGATACAGGCCGTACAAACACAGGGGACACACAGGCCATTGTTTCTCAGCTCCTGCTTTAGACCGCGGTGAGGATGTTGGTCCCCACTTCTTCTGAGAAGTCCTATCTGCTGTGCATACAGGAATGAGTCCCCCCCAAAAGCCAGTTCAAGCCCTGGAACCATAGTAGCCAAGCAGTTGGACTAAGATGATGCATCTTTTTTTTGCAGGATGGTATCCGGGTCGTCGGGAAATGTGGTGGTTACTGTGGAAAATGTGCTCCGTCCTCTGGCACTGGCCTGGAGATTCGAGTTTTATAGTTAAGGCAAGTGTCTCTGTCCCTCTCTCTCTTTCTCGCACTCTCTCTCTTGCCCCCTGGCTCTCTCTCATTCTGTCTGCAGTCTAATGATTAGCAACTGTAGGTGGGTCACTTGCCCCCAGACGGGGGAAGCTGAGCCAGTGCTTTTCAGCCTTGTGTCTCCTGCTCATCTGTCCTCGCATGCCTGTGGCCATCTGCTCTCCACCTTGGACTTGCGGTCCCCAGACATCCTGCACCATTTCCTCTGCAGTGCTTATTAAAAATGCTGCTCCCTGGGCTCCATCTCTAGAAGTTCTACTACGTTGAGTGGAGGTGGATCTAGAAATCTGTATTTTTAATGCAGGAAATTCTAATGCAGAAGATTCACAGCTCAGCCTTTGAGAAATACTGCCGAGGGTATTACGAGAGTAATATTAATAACAGTTGTTGACCCCTGACTGTGTGTCAGGCACCATGTTGGGTAGGCATTATTTCCGTGCATCCTCACAGCAAAGCCACAGTCTAGGGCTGTTACCCTCATTTTACGAATGGAAGCTGAGATTCACAACAGTTAAGCAGCTGGCTTAAGTTCACCACAGATTTCCTTGGCAGGACCCAGGAGGGTCCTACCCACAGCCAATGCTCTCAGTTAATGTACTCTTCTGCACACTTGTAACTCACGATGTGATCCAAGGACCAGCCTGATCTGTATCACATGGGAGCTTATTAGAAATGCAGGATCTCTGGCCTCATTCCAAATCTTCAAAGTCAAAATCTGCATTTTACCGAATGCACAGTAGAGTTTCCCTGTTAAAAGTTTGACAATTCCTGTCGTGACTATATTATGCTGGCAAGCACTCCGTCTGCTGGGCAGAGAAGTGAACTGATCACTCCTTTTCTCATCTCATTGCCTTTCATGTATAAGAGATGAGCTCAACCAACTCACGCGACCCTCCTACATCTTCCCTCAAGCTTCCAGCAGCCCATTATCCCTTTTAGGCTCTTCAAGATCCTGGCAAAGGAGTGTATAGCTGACACTTGTGTATCAGTTTCAGTGTTTAACCATCTGTATTAAAAACTATGAACTTAAGGTAGAAATTCCACTGCAGGAAGCACCAGGGGGGAAAAAAAGGAAACTGAAAACAAACTTACTGTCTTAAGTAACTGAGATATCTAAGCAGTGGTCTGTCTCCAGGCATGGTTGGATCTTGAGGCTCACAGTCATCAGGGCTCTTTCTTTCTCTATCCATCAGCAATGCTTGCCTCTTGAGTGACTTTATTCTTGGGCAGATCATCTCCACACCATGGTCCCTGGCAGTTCTAGGCTTACATCATCTTTACATTTCATGGCCCTTAGTAAATGCTCACCTCTGACATCTGTTTTGCACAAGAACTCTGGGTCTGATTTGTCACATGGCCATTTCTGAACCAGTCATAACGTCTAGGAGACTGGGATCATGTACCCACCTAGAGTCAGGTGGCTGACCGCTTCATTTGGAAGAGGGATGGTTGCCAAAGGACCAGAAGGAGTTTGTTATCAGAAAAGAGGAGATGGAATAAAGGAAGGTGAAGTCAGGGGATCTCCATTTGATTTGTATTATATATATTTTATATCTAATAAAGTGTATTTTATATGTATCTTATGAGTAGTAACATTTGAATGAGCACATACACATAATATTTACATGTCTTTTCCAAAGGACTAGAAGGAAATACACCAGTATGTGAAGAACATTATCTCAGGCTGGGGAAATCACAGGCCGGTGGCTTTTTATTTTATACTTTATATATCCTTGAAATTTCCAGTTTATTGTAGCAAGCATTATTTTTAAGTTCTATATGTAAAAATTTCTGACTTACCTATTCTTGACTTATGTCATTTGAGACAGAAGATTTACATTTCCTGGTTGGTTCATTTGCTTTCAGGTGCTCAGAAGAGGAAGCCATTATGGGATGGATGAAGGATAGTGATGAAATACCTCCACCTTAAAATGTGTGTGTGTGTGTGTGTGTGTGTGTATGAGAATTTGTGTGCCTGTGTGTGTGTGTACATATGCATATATATACTTATATACACATACATATGTATATATATGTGTGTGTATATAAATGTGGAATAACCTAATGATGTAAAGTTTAATATTTATGTTTGAAATTATTTATTGTGATGTAATATTTTTGTACGTAAAATGATTCTATTATGACTGCCTTTCACATTATTTCGTCCCCTGCAGTCAGACCACTGCATTTTACGTACTCTACATTATATGTAGTACTATGACAAAAGTGATCCTTTATTATCACGGTACACTATTGTTTACTTTCTTTCTGTAAATGTTTTATGTTACTTTTTTTAATTGTAATTTTTTATAAGAAACAACTTAGCTACCATCAAGGTGCTACAAGAGTTGTATGAGGATATTGTTGGCATTTCTAGGAATGTGTCATTAGCCAATTGGTAATTTAGTGATGTCACAGATTGTACCAGCTATTAATTATGTTAAGTATCTATTCAGTTTCATGTGATCTCTGGGAAAAAAACTTGCTGCCTTGGTGCTAATATTGTGTGTATCTAAGTGATAATCAGACTCAGAACTGTAAACACTTTGAATAGAAGGGAGAAGCTGAAGGACAACTTTGAATGGACAGTCACTTGGATAAAATAAGACCAACTGTTTACCCTTGGTTTTAGACCTGGCTTCTTGAGAAGAGAATGGGACTTTGTTCTTGTCATTCTTATCAGTACTTTGCTTCAGTTAATGGTGCCTTTGTCTCTCTGGTTAAAGAGAGGGTCCTTCAAGCAGCTTCATTACAGCGTGACATTGAGCCAATGAGAGCCGCTCAGCGTTTTGCCAAGATACTCTGAAATGGTGTCTATGTCAACAATTGCGACAGAGGATGCCTGGGGTGGGGGTGAACTTCAGCCTCCCCAGCACATCTGAAGAAATCCAGAACCGGAATCTTAGTCATCAGGATTGACTTTTGCATGAAAACTTTGGCTGGTGACTTAGCCCCTCTGAGCCATGAACCCTAAACCCTGTCAGTGTCCATGGCTGCTGCAGTAATCGGCATTCAGGAGTAAAATGAACTGTGGAGTACAAGATGCCTGAGTCTGTCTTATCTTTGGATTCATTTATCTGTGGAAGTCCTGTTTGTTACTTCTTTCCAAAATGGAACTGCCAAAGCTATGGTCTTTCTGCTCTTCCACCCTGATGGAAGAGGAGTCGTCACCGCTGTCAGACACTCGATTTGAGAAACCTTCCCACTTCCAAAAGCCAAAGAGATTAGGAGAAACCTGTCAGTCTTCTCCAAACCCACACAAACTTCAGAGTGCTCCAGGAAGTTATGTTCAATGTATGAATAAGTGTTATTCTCCTTTATTAATATGTTGTGAAAATATACTGCGAATAAATACCATGACCACATCCAAACATTTGTGTTTCACGTGATTTCTGGACACTTGATTCAAGATGGGATGAACATGCCTCTAGTTTTGTTTTGTTTTTTCTAGTTTTTAAGATTACCATATTGAGAAGAAATGCAGGCTTTCTTAATCCCATTGATTGCATTTGCCATTCTGGAGACAGATAAAGAATGGGGACTATCTCAAGGTTTGTCTTTTCATCACTTAAGTCAGTTAGTTGAAGTGGTTATTCTGAAAATCAGACAAAGAAACCTCTTGTCTGTGCAATGGGGAAGCAAATGACCAAACAGAAGATTTAAGTGAGATTTGGGGGCTTAATTGTTAATATCATGTAACAATATTTCTATTCTAGAGATTGATGGTGTCCTGGAAAATGAGAGCTTTCCAAAGAGATCTAAAGAACAGCTAATAGTAAGTGAACATCCCTGTATGCCGGAACCTTTACTAGATTGTTTTAGTTTGTTCTCAGAACCACCCAGTGGAGCAGGTAATAGACTTAGCATCATTTTTTGGATAAGCGGACAGAGCTTTTGAGATGCAGATGGGCCCCACATTCATATACAGTGAGTAAGTGACAGTCTTACAAAGAACTTTGGCTCTGATTGGGTTGCATGGCCACTTCTGGACCAGTGTCAAGATGGCTGGGATTATGTGCCCTCTTAGAGGCAGGTGATCAACAACTTCAGTTGAAAGACCAGCTATCCCGGAAAAGAAAGGTTGTGCTATCAGAAAAGGGTAGATGGTATGAAGATAGGCAAAAGCAACACATGTCCACTCAAGATTACATGTGTTTGTGTGTTTGCCTGCACATGTATGTGTGCATGTATAAAATTTCCAGATCCCATAGCTTACCCATAGTTTCATAGTTTCTTGTCACCCCACAGCTTCATCTGAGACCTGGGTTCTAGTCTTTTGTCTGATGTGTACTGATTATGTGATCCTAAACCCTAGTTTCCTCATCTGTAAAGTGAGGCTGTTGACATGCCTCCTGTCACATGGGATTGTGTTTTATGAAGATGCTTTAGCCCGGCGCTAGTGGTAACAAAGTGGCAGTACTGCAAATGTGCCTCAGTATATCTGAGCTGACAATGTGGAAGGCATGGGTTCTGTATCAGTTAGGAGTTGTGTTCAGCTTCTAATTACAGAGATCTGACTACAGTGGCTTACACATTAAAAAGTATATTTCACCATTATGTAGGAGAAGCCTGAAGATAGGCAATTCAAGGCTGGTATTGTAGCTCCACAAAATCATCAGAGACGTCGTTTCTTTATCTCCTCTCCTCAGTCTTCCATATGTCCATGTGGCTGCCAGAGCTCCAGCAATCACTCCCAAATTCCAAGCAACAAAAATAAAAGAGTGAGGGGAAGGGTGAAAAAGGAGCCTAGTCCAAGCTTTCCATTTTCTGAAAGAGGTTTTCCAGAAACATCACCCAACAAATTCCATTTCTATCTTCTCAGGCAGATTTGAGCCCTGTGCTTGAACCTAGGCTGCAGAAGCAGTAGAGAATTAGGGTTATTTCGCAGGGTGTGTTGCCAGACTAAATGAAATGAGGAATCTGTTCCTAGAAGGCAAAATGGATTTGACACAAGTAACTATT